AAACCCCTTTGAGTCCCTTTTTACGTCGTTTTCGCTCAGTGTGCGTGTGTGTTACTCGAGGGAGAGGAGAGAAGGTAGAGAAAACCGAAAAGAGAGAGAGAGGAGGGTTTGTTTGTTTTTGTCTTTTTTTTGTTTCTTGTTTTTTGGTGTCTGTGCTGGTGTTTGTTTTTTGCTCGCTTGTGTGTTTCGGCTTCCTGTCGTGCAGGAGGCCCACTTCGTCTGTAACTGCTCCTTCTCACTGAGTGCGTGCGTGTGTTTGTGTGTGACTGCCGCCGTTTGTCGCGATGCTCGTGGAGGCGGGCGCAGGCAACCGGATGGGCTTCCGTCCCATGCAGCCGGAGGAGACGCGGAATCCCACGGGGTCGCCCTCCACCGCGGCGCTGGGTGACTCCTTTGCGACCGGCTACACGCTGTTTCAACAGAGCGCGGCCGCGGACACCGCGAGCTGCCACAGTCGCTGGAGCAACAACGAGGGCGGCAGCCCCTCCACCTTCCCGTCCCGCTCCTCCCGCCGGACAGAGGGCCTGCTCACGAGCAGCTACAACAGCTCGGCGGAGTTGAGCGCGACGAGGGGGGCGCCGCTGGTGTTCCCGCCCGGCGAAACCCGGAGCCTCGAGCAGGCGCTTCCGCCCCCGTCGGACCGGTACACCGGCTCCGTGGAGGAGGCGCGGTACAACCCGAACGCGGCCAGCGGAAGCGGACCCGGCGGCAGCGTCTACTTTATGAACACGCCCCTGCAGCCGTGGAAGTCGTCGGGCGGCGGGGTCTACTCCATGACTGGCGGCGCGACAACGGAGTTCAACCGGGGCGGCCAGACAACCGGCGCGTCCTCGTTTCTCGGCTGCGGCGACGCCCCCACGCCCTCCGTCGTGCCGCGTGCTGGGGCGGCAAGCATCAGCGTTGGGGCCGCCGGGACCGCCACGCTGGGCCAGCGAAGCCCGCTGGAGGCGCAGCAGCAGCGGTCCTGGTCGACGGTCGAGCCCCCGCGCGCGGTGACCTCCTCCTCGCTCTACTTTTTGACCTTCGACGGGGAACGGCACCTGAAGGAAAAGACGCTGCGGTTCAAGATGCTGCCCTCGCCCGTGCCATTCGAGACTTTCTTTGCGGAAACCCACTCCAGGACCTCCCCGGAGTGCGTGAGCCAGTACCAGTCAACGATGCTGCGGTGGTACAAGCGCATCGTCCCGGCGCAGGAGAACACGCGCGCCCGCGTCCGCCAGCGGTGTCCCTCACCGCCCAAAAGCCTCCTGCGCGAGGCCGCGCTCCCCGATGCGGCGGAGCTGCAATCGTGGGCAGAGCAGTGCTGCCGGTGGTGGGATGAGACGTCGCGAAAGCGGACGCGCCGAGGGCACCGGGGAGGAAAGACGCTGGGTAGCGCGGGGAGCACCCCGATGCCCGCGGCCCAGCAGCAGCGGGCGAACGAGCCTGCTCGTCTTGCCGGGGAAAACAAGCCGCAGACCATCGGGACCCCACTTCTCTTACCCTCCGCCGCAGATGTCTCCGAGCGCGCCCCGTCCGACGACACCGACCACGCATGGATGAAGTGGGTCGAAAACAAGTTGGAGGAGACGTTTTTGATGGAGGAGTAGAACCGCGGGGCAAGCGAAGTGCCAAGAAAACAAAAAGTGTTTCTTTATTTCATAAACACATGCATACTTACATGTCACGGGCTAACTGGAGGTGGAGACCGCCCCACCCATGCACAAAAGGAGACAAGGAAGCGGAGGGAAAAAAATAGAGAGAGAGAGGGAGAGAGAGAAAAAAGTAATGATAATAATGGACACTCCCCTTTATCCCTGTTTCATGTTTTAACTTCGTCTCCGCTCGTGGATGAAGGGTTAACGCAAAGAAGCAAATGCGTTGGTACATTTCTATGTATTTGAAGAAGGACACCATCGAGAAGGGCTCGTGATGGGGGAAGCAACGGAGGTAGTGAGGAACTTTAAACATAGTTTCTGAAGTGCGACCTTTTTTTTTTATGTTTCTTCTTGTTTGTAGAGAAAATGGTGCTGACGCAGAATAGGGGTGGGAGATAGGATTTTTTTTTTAAGGGTGGGAGGGTTTGGAGATGAGAGTGTGAAGGTAAGAAGCGACCACTAATTTCTTGTTGTGTCTGTGTCGATGTAGGTATGGGTGCTGTTAGCTAGTTTTATGTAATGTCTATTCTTTTTCTTTTCTTTTTTTTCTTTCTTTTTTCTTGTTGTTGCTGTTGTGTTGTTTTGTTGATGTTTTTTTTGTTTGTTTGAGGATGTACGGATGAACCGAGTTGCGGAACATGTATGTATGGGGTTGTTGCCTCTCTGCCGTACCCTATCACCCTAAATTTTTCAGAAACATTCGGTGACTCATAGCTTCGTCCTCGGCGTCGCCGCCGCACTCCAAATGCAGGTGCGCGGAGGATGGTGGCCGGCGCACGGCTGCTTCTCTTTTTTTTTTCTTTTTTCTTTTTTCTTTTGCGCGAATCCCTTACATGTGTGTGTCAGACACGTTTACACCCCCATATACATATTATATTTATGTATGTATTTATTTATCTGTCTTCCTTCTCTGGCTCCTTCTCCCGCCCCGGTCTTGGAGCTCTTTCGCATGAGTCTGTGTGGAAGTCAGGGCCTGCCCTGGAGGAAAAGGGGGGGGGGAGGGGCAGTGCGTGCGACACGCGCCGGTAGCTGAGCAGGAATATTCCGGCAGCGGCACGGAGGGGAGGGGAGTATAGGGGGTACTGATGGAAGCAGAAAAACAAAGCTTAACGGAGGGGCATAAGATGAGGAGAAATCAAGTGATGTCGATTGAGGATATTCCCTATCAATGAATGGGAAGAGGAATGTGAGTAGGGCTTGTTGGGGCCACGAAAGAAGAGGGTCAATGGAAAAGTGGGGGGAGTAAAACCAAGGCGAGGCGGGGGGAGCTGCCCCCCTCCCCCACTTTTCTTCCTGGCGTCTGCGTGTGCGCGGGCGGAGGGGCGGTGGTGGGTGTGGCGTGGGGGAGGAATAAATGGAGTGGGGGGAGTATTCGTGCCGTTGCCGCTTTGAAAGGGCCACGCCCGCGTGCGCCGTTGGGTTGCCCGTGGGCGCCGCCGCACTCGGCGCGGAGTTGAAATGCACCCACGCACGCGCCCCCTCCGCCCACATGTACTTATCCCAAGATGCCTGGACGCTCGTCACGGAACGCCGACGCACATTTTTCCTGTCTATCTGTGTTTTTGTTTTTGTTTTGTGCGCGCTCAACTTACCTTCACTCTTTGCTTCTTCGTGTTTTTTCTTTTTCTTTTTTCCTTTTTTTTTTGCTGCTGCTGCTGCTGCTGCTGCTGCTGCTGGAGTGGGCGGGGAGGCGCTCGTGCCTCCC